TAATTTTCCCTTTCATCTGACAAAAATTTGTCATCCACTCGCCCACTCTCAGCGACATAAATCACTGCCGAAATGTGTGATGGCTCAAACTGTCCTTCCTCATCACGGCAGGGTTATAACACCTCGAGGAATTGACGAGATGCGAACGCGCGCGCGTCTTTGATTCAGGCGCCGTGATACAACTATTCGTGCTTCGTAGATGTGCGTGTTGCATACGTAAAATTGAAGGCGTTCCGGCTTTCATCACGTTCGCAACGCGCCGCACCATCTTTGAAACTAACTATATTTTTTTGTGGCTTGATACAGATCGTTTTCAATGACTGTTTGACTTGGTATCGTCTTAGTATTTAACAAAACGGAAGTTTAAGTACAATTTGCTGGTTGGTGTTTAACAGACGTTGATTTCGTATTTTGAATTGAACCTATAACTTTTCAAAACGTTTAAAGAGTTTTTTATCTTCATCTCCATCTTCATCTTCTTTTCCTTTCCCATTCTATTTATTTTCCTGATGATAACAAATGCGTCCCTATCTAGCGCACGTATTTTTTTTTCAAAACCTTTCATATGTAGCCATGATCTTATTCCTTAATTCCACCTCCTAACAAGTCTCGGATCTGAAAAAACCAAGTCCGTCAGCGGGTTGATTATTAACATTGATACACAAAAAAGTAGACAAGACAATAGACAAAGAAGACGAAAACTTACGTCAGCCTACCAGAGACCCTAAAATTAGTTCATCATTTTCCCTCTTAGTCTAGAGCAACAACCCACTTTATGTAGGTAGTAGAATCTCTCTATTTTCTCTTTGCTTCTTTGTCTATTGCTTTGTCTATCAATTTTAGTAATCAGCCTGCTAATGCGATACGCAACCTACGTAGCGGAACACGCAACGAGAAACTCTCACCTATTCCTGGAATCGAGACACCCTCTGTAATCTCCACTTGTTACCCAATACCCACCTGCGGAACCTTTTGAAGCCAGTGCAAATTTGGATTTTCCGACGCGCGCAGGCGGAGCTCAGGCCCACGGCTCTGAGCACGTTTTCATTAAGCCGAGTGTAAAGACCTTGAGGCTTGCAACTTGCATCCACGCTGCCCAACTTGCCAAATCTACCCGAACAAGTCCACAAAATTTAGGGTCGTATTCATACACAGTAAGCATGGGTGGTTCCAGACCTCTGTGCTTGTGGGTGCAAAGAGATTTAGAACCATTTTGAGCCATATGAGGGCAGTCCGGGGGGCCCCTCCTGGAAAATTTTGGAAATTGAATCTTTCATGGACGCTATTGTGACATATTTTTAACTTGAACATCGTAATATTTAGGAGATTAATTTCACGGTTTATATAGGGGTTTTCAATATTTTTCCCCCTAATCATTTCGATTTTTATAAAATGAAAAGTTAGGAAATGAATCGGAAACGTTTTAAGTCGATGGCTGGTGTAAGATAGACATTTTTTAGAAAACGTAGAAAAATAAATAGTTAACAATCTACTTGAATTAAAAATTTCGAAAATTTCGCACTTTTGGTGTCACCTCCAATTCCCATCTGATAGAAATCTTTCGGGCATATTGACCAAATATTTGGGTAACATTCGACAGATCCTCTTTCTCCAGGTCAAAAATTTGCAACCTGCAGGCCGATTATTGAAATTGATAGACAAAGCTGTAGACAATTAAGACAAAAGAGATATGGATGGATCCTGTTGGTGGAAGCAAGTGGTTGCAATGGACAAAGGAGGTAGGTAATAGACTAACTAACGAAAACACACGAGAGACCCGATAGTTAGTTCATCATTTTCTCCCTTAGTCTACAGGGACCGCACATTTCAACCAATAGGGTAGATCCATACCCCCTATGTGCTTTTTGTTTATCGTTTTGTCTATCAATTTCAATAATCAGTCTGCTGGATCCTATTTGTGTCAGTCTAATGCGTTAGTCGCTAGTAGGTCGCAACCTCCTGAATGAAATCGAGAGAAACAAGAGTAAACTAGTTGAGTAGTACACTTTTTTCATCCCCACATGTCTTCGAGTAACCGGCGGTTTGGCCGAATCAAGTAGAAGGTTGGTCGATTTACCCAGTCTTTTTGGTTGATCTCACCGTTAAACAGTAACTCAAAGTAACTTATACTTACGGTAACCATAAATGCGGAAATTCGCAGCTGTGTATAATTAACCATGATATTAAGGAAGGTTCAAGGTAGCCTTTCAACCTAGCATCTCAAGAAGGACAATTTTCGTGGAATTCCTAGTAACTCTCATCAGTATGACTTTAGAAATAGAACCTTAAGAGGGATGCAAAAAGAAAGTACATCGGAGCTTGGTTTAATTTTCAGGTAGAGACCGACGTACCTTCTTTTTCTTTTTCAGGGCTAAATCATTGTAATCTGTTTCTTTACGTATTTCTGGAATCAAACTGATGAAGTTTACTCAGAGCCTCATAAAAATTTCCCAGTTTATAATGTCATGTTGAAGGCCTCCTTGAATCTCCCTTAGGAGCAGTTTCTAAATTACGTAGCGTACTTTTCCAGTATTTTTGACACCCCCCTTCCTCCATATAAAGCTTTTGTGTCGTAGGTCCTTACCCTTTAAAACTTAAAAACAAAATGTTTAGGTTATAGGCTAGGTAAGGTCAGTCATCGACCTCCCCTACCCCTAGAGCGTTACGTAATTTAGGGATGGTCCCTTACTCGTCGTGTAAATAATATGGGGATTGAAAACTGCCATGCTAAGGAAAAACGCCGTATCAACCCTCTGGTGTTGTAAAATTTCCTTTGATAAAATACGAATTTCCTGGTAAAATTATGAATATTTCCCCCCCAAAATGTTACGAAAATTTTGTGCGCAATTTATTCTGAAATGTCTGAAAATTTCAAAGAAAAATGTGCATAAATGTCGTCAAAAATACATATTTTATCCAGGGAAATTTGGCAACTCTCGAATGCTCATACGGCGTTCTTCCTTAGCACGGCAGAAAGAGAGAGGATCAACGACGGCAAATGAGGACTTATATGTAACAATGGCGGATGTGAAAAATTAACTTTTCGAAACACATTCAAAAAACTGTTTTGGCAACAAGAAAATTTTGAGAAAATACTTGAGATGTGATCCTCGAGATCTGTACATTATGCCAGAGCCAAACATACTAAATTTTTGTGTGAACAAAACAGTTTTTAAGCGTGTTTCCAAAAGGTAATTTTTCACATCCGCCATTGTCACATATGAATTGCATTTTGCAAAAGGGAACCAGGTGCATTGCAATGTTGCTAAGATTGTGCAAATTCTTTTGTCTTGGAAGAAGAACCTCATTATCTATAAATCGTTTCTATTTTATTCGATAAAAACTGTAAATTTAGGACAAAAATTACCATGTAAATTTCATATTTCCTCAGGATTTCAATGTTTATATTGCAATGGACGAAGTTGCACAATCTTAGCAACATTCCAATGCTTTTCGTTCCTTTTTGCAAAATGTGATCCATACAAGGCCTCAAATACGGCCTTAACATTCAATCACACGGATAAAACGTAGATTTATTCGCACCATCTTGTTATGACGCAATGTACCCTGGATCGGGTGTATGGTGCACGTGTTGCATGGAATTCGGGTGGCATTATTTCAGCGCAATCCTCCCTCGCGGCCGGAAGGGGGTCGGGGGGGGGGGGGGGGGGGGGGNCGGGGTGGGTCCAACGCGATCCGGAACGAGGAGCTGCGGGCCCGGACCTGGAAACGACGTAACTTTCATCTGGTTTCCGGCGAGGATGGATGGTTTCTGCGCGGCGGCTTGCATGTGAGCCCAAGTAAATATTGTGCCAGCCGGGCGCGGAACGTGACAGAATATCATTCGCGGGTATAACCTCGTTTTCGCCGGCTCCTGCGACCGGCTCGCATTTCAACATTTTAAGGGCGGAGGTACTTACGTATTCCGCCATGCTAAGGAAGAACGTCGTATGAACCCCCAGGCGTTGCCAAATTTCCTTTGATAAAACACGAATTTCCTGGTGAATTTATGAATATTTTCCTTCCAATTTTTAATCTAATTTTGTTCGCAATTTCACCTGAGGCCCCTGAAAAGTTCAAGGAAAAATATTCATAAATTTCCTCAAAAATAAACAAATTCGATGAAAATCGAAGTGAATTTGGCAACTTTCGAATGTTCATACGGCGTTTTTCCTTAGCACGACAGTTTAGCTCTCTGTACACTTACGTATTCTGGAGGTACTTACGTATTCTGCCATGCTAAGGAAGAACGCCGTATGAACCCTCAGGCGTTGCCAAATTTCCTTTGATAAAACACGAATTTCCTGGTGAATTTATGAATATTTTCCTTCCAATTTTCAATCTAATTTTGTTCGCAATTTCACCTAAAGATTTTTAAAATTTCAAGGACAAATGTCCATAGCTCTCTTCAAAATAAACATTTTATCGAAGGAAATTTCGCAACTCTCGAATGCTCATACGGCATTTTTCCTCAGCACGGCAGTATTGCCGTGCTAAGGAAAAACGCCGCATGAATATTTGGATGATGTCGAATGTCCCTCTTTGAAACATTCAGTTTTGCGAAGAAAGTTGTAAATCTTTTTCTCCGGATTGGGTTTGCTATAAACTTCAGCCGGAGAAAAACGGAGAGCTGTCTCTTAAACAGAATTAACAGAAAATTGCCCAAAAATCGCGATGACCCTCAATGAAATACGAATTTTTAGGGAAGTTTGTCGATATTTTCATCCTAATTTTTCAGAGAATTTCGTTTGCCGTTTAATCTACAGTATTCGAAAGTGGGCCCATCACACACTTCAGGTGAAGAAAAATATGAGTTATTTCCATCAGATGAAGACGAAAACATCACGATGAGTGCATCAAAAAAGTCTGAAAGAAACTCGTAACTTCTCGATCTGCGTAAGAAATGTTTTTTGTTAATTTATTTCGTCTATAGAAACTCTGTTTTAACCAAAAGACAGATTGTGATCTTTCACGATTGTGAAAATTGCAAAACCGAGAGAGAAAAAAAAACTTTTTTAAAATATGCACATATATTCTCTAAGTTACCAGACTATTTTTGCTAAGTACTCATGCTAATTTTGCCAAGTACTCTTTCCAATCGATGTATCCTTTTCAAAGATTTGACAGCTTCTTCCTTCATTTGATCATCCTTCTGTTGCATCTGTGTCGCCATGGATTTTATCTCTCCAGTATACGTAGCCCACTTGGTCTTGTACTTCTGTTCATTTTCATCGCGGTTCTTGAGTTTCTCAGTTCTCTGAATGTTCAACTCTGCAGCCTGATCAGGGTTATTATTTATGCCCTCTTCCAGCCGTCGGATCTCACTGTTGACTCTGGTTAGGTACGCCTTGTAATTCCTATTCAATCTGCTCAAACTCCTTTCTGCCTTCTTTTTTTGGCGTTGTAAAGCGGAGAGTTCTTTTGCCAGCTCTGCTACTTTAGATGAATTGGCTTCCCCGGTAGGAAGCTCTCTTGTGTGTAGAGTTAAGATCGGGTTGACCTCGATGGTGTTACGTGAGACGTTTGTGTCGTTTTCATTGTAGAGGCTGAACTCGGTACCGCATGTTGAAAACTCCGTCTGGAAAAATATTAAAAGTGTTCAGAATCAAAATGAACAAATGAATCCTGTTAATGAGAAATATGCGAGAATTTTTAATATTTTTACGTACGGAAAAGAGAAGTTGTCAGTAGTTTGTCGGCCGCCTATGGTGTAGTGGCTGTAGCGCTAGCTCTATGATCGGGAGGTCCCGGGTTCGATTCCCGGCCAGGCGACCCGAGTTTGATGGTCTCAATCAGTGGTTGCCTGGGACAGTGGGACTGGTTTTAGGGACAGAGGGAGGACGGGACTAAAGCGGAAGGATCAGCCCTTGTGGGCTATTTGAAGTAGTAGTAAAAAAAAGTTGGAGGAGGTTTCACGATGAAAAATTGCATGTGGCTCTCATAGAGCCTCAAAGGAACGAGATCAAAGAAATCATCTCACAAAAAATTCCGAAGAAGAGCGCTCACTTTTTATCACATATTTAAATATGTGATAAAAAAAAACACGAAGGAATAGCCAAGCTTAATGATGAATCACAAGAGAAAACACTTGAGTAAAAATAGATGTAACAATGTATACATAGGTAATAACTTATGCATATTAGGTATTTTACCTGGGACCTTTTACCAGAACGTTTTGGGCCGAATATTGTGCTAAACCTGTGCTAAACTGGTCTTAAACAATTGATAATGGAAAACAAGAATTAAAAAGATTAAACATGTTACTTTAGCCTTTTAATTCTCATTTTCAATTGTTTGGTGTTTTGTTTTTGTTTTTTTGTTTACATATCATCAGAAAACGCAAATTTTTCCAAACTCACAAAAATTATAAAAATGCTGGTATAATGTTGAATGTGATAAGAAATGTGTTCATAAAAAAATGCGCCATTCTTTTTTCGACGGGAAAGTCTTTTTGGAAGTGACAAAACTGCAAAATTTACAGAAAGGAGAATTTTGGGATTGTCATATATTTGCCCCGCCATTTGGTAATGGTTATTTTTCCCGGTTATTTTGTATCAAATAGAACACATCAGGCTAGGAATTATTTCGCTGATAATAATCAACAAGGGAACAATCAAATACCAAAATTCACATGATTTTTATTTTACCTGAAAAAGTGTGGTCAGGAACAGCAACAGTAACGGTTGGCGTCGATAACTCATGACTGCGCACTTCGTTAAGTGAGACCGCTAGTTTCCGAAACCCTTTTTATAATCAACTAGCAGTCAACCCGCGCTTCGCGCGGCGATATTGCAGGAAACAAATCGGAATATCTCATAATATATGCGTATAACTTTTAATTCACTGATTTTATTTGGATCGCTGGAAAATTAATGCATACTTCTATAATTTAGGACTGAGTCAGGGAAATATAAGGTTCGTTAAAAAGTAACCATCCCTAGTACCGTGTGACACTATTGTTAACGAAAAGTTTTTGTAACTTGTCAAAGAGGTTTTTGAATGATCTTCGAATAACTTTTGATGAGCTAGATGTAATGGTTGTACCGCAGCTCTTGCACTTCTGTTCGATATTGTCAAGAATCATCTGAATTTTAAAAAAGTGTCCGCTTGTTGGATACCCAATATGCTCATTCATGCATACAAGTAGAAGCGCATGAAAGCTTTAGCAGACATTTTGGAGATGAACCAAGAATTAGATGAAGAATTCATGACTTAAATCACGGCACCTTAATTACGGGATGACCTTAATTACGGCAACTATGTATTGTCCATGAGATGCAGATGGACCCATTTCCTTAGCTCATCAAAAGTTATTCGAAGATCAATTTTATCAGCCACCCGTACGACCCACGTTTCTAGTGACCCGTACACTGAAAAAAAGTTCTGTTGTCACAAACCAGAATTTCTGGTTGTATTTCGCAACCAGATTTTCCGGTTGATTTAACCAGAATTACATTTGACTCAACTAGAATTTGGTGGAGTCAACCAGACGTCTGGTTGAGTCAACTGTAATTCTGGTTGAATCATCCGGAAAATCTGGTTGCGAAATACAACCAGAAATTCTGGTTTGTTACAACAGAACTTTTTTTCAGTGTACGTGCTTCGCACGTATGAAACATACAATCAGAGAAAACAGAATTCATCTCACAATAATCAATAATTAGTAGAACATGAATCGTTTCGATGTATAATACCACATTATAATGCGGCGTTACTATTGTAATTAATTATAATGTATTAGGGGCATTATAAGTCTTTATTACCACGTCGGAATGAAATGTTGTAGAATGAATTGAAAAGCATGTTGGCAAAATTTATTGAGAAAACCACTATTAAAACGACAACTACAGTTAATTTGAGTCCCACTGGAATTAATAGTTAAAAAATCCATGATTACACAACAAACCCACTATGAAAGCAACAACTAAAGTTCAGAAATAGTTAGGAAATCCATGATTACACTAGAAAACCACTATTAAAACGACAACTACAGTTAAATTGAGTTCCACTGGAATTAATAGTTAAAAAATCCATGATTACACAAGAAACCCACTATGAAAGCAACAACTAAAGTTCAGATAATGGAAAATAACTGACCCAAAACATTCAAAAAGATGTTATTTTCATCAGCTGCTCAGTTTAAAAAAAAAAAAAAACAAAGTAAAAACGTTCGTGGGGAGGGGGGAAGGCGAATAAATATACGAGCAGTAAGCGTAGAAGAATAACTATGGAAACATAAGAAAGCTCAAAAACTTTCATCAGCTGATAATCGGATGAAACATAGAAAGGCCCGCAGTGTTGCCGTTCATAGCATAGAACAGCGGAAATCAAGGGCCAATTACGCGCGCAGCTAAAGGTATCCGACGGCCACCCGGCAACGGCCGCGTCAGGAAATATACCCGCACTGCTACGTCTCTCTTTCCAACGCACACGGGCTTACGGGAATATCCGCGACTTCCGACCGCGGTTACTCGCGAACGGACGGGCGGATCGCGAAAAGAAAGCTTATTGCACCCCTCGGGGACAGTACCCGTCGAACGGCTAAGTTCGCACCGATTCCGACCGGTGGGAGCGGGGAGGCGAGCGTGATGGATCAATGTATGATCAATGTATTTCCCTTTTATTAGTTAGATATTTTTTTCGACACCGGAGTGAATTTCATTCCCAAAAAAAGTTTCACCCCGGAAAAAATTGATAAAATCCACCAGTGTGGTTCATCAAGCAATTAAAGGTACTTTCAAAGTTCACACGCACGTGCCACTTACATATGATCACATGGGTGTTTTGAGATTGGTTTTAATGCGGAAGAGCATGAAAGCGGTTGCAAATTTGCGTTGCTTTCATTTTTTTACAAACAAGCATCCTCCAAATTATTCATAATATCAAAATTCAAGCTGGCAATACTGTAGCTGAATTGCGCGCAGAAATTAGTGCTTTTACCACTGAGCTCATGACTAAGGTATCTGCTGCAACATGAGCGGGAACTACTCCCATAAAAATTGGTGAGCAGGTTCGTAAAAAAAAGGAAAAACCTAAAATTAGAACTATCGTGCAAGGCAGAGATTTCCATAATTGTGACGCTTATCAATACATGCAAGCCATGCGTCACACTGATATTGCCGCATTGCTAGTAAAAGGTGTAATTTTATGATCGAAAAAGCACGGGTACTTTTGGCTTTGTAGTCGCTGAGACGAAAATTCAGAAATCTCAAACTAAAACCGAGTTATGTCATTTTGTAGTTTCCACGTTGAAGCATTGATAAGGGGAAAAACAAAAATGTTTGGAAAATTTTGCTTCCATGCGCAAATATATCTGATCTCTTACACGATTACCTTTTATTTCTATGAACCGTTTCCGAGAACCGAAGTAAAAAGTTCTATGAACCGAAGTAAAAGGATTCAGAGTCGAAGAGAGAGGAAAAAAAGACGGAGGGAGAGAAGACAGAGGAGAATAAAAAAATAATATGAAGAATGAAATATAACAAGAAAATGAAATATGAGAAAATTTAGAGGGGGAAAAAAGGAGAAGAGAAGAAGAAAAGGAAAACCTCACGAGAAATAATAAGAAAGAGAGCTAAGATGGTTAGGATAGATCCTTTATCCTCCTAAAGAAAAGCAAGAAGCCAAAGGATCCAAACAAGGATATTAAAGAAAAATGAGAAGAAAAAGAATATTTAGAAAGAGTTGAGAAAAACAGAGAATCCTGATGTATGTAAATATGAAAGGGAAGAAGAAAAAAGAGCAAGAAGAAAAGAAGCAGGAGAAAAATAACAAGTTGCAAAGAAAATAAAGAACGAGAATAACAAGAAAACGAAAAAGAAGAAGGCAGAAGAGTAATATACAGGGTTGCCACAGTCAGGGAAAATCGGGAAATGTCAGGGAATGTTAAAAAGTCAGTGAAAACCGGGTAATGTCCGTGAAAATTTGTTAAATAACCTTTATTTACTTTCCATAATTGGTTTGAGGTTTCGAACAACAAATTTTGCCTGAAAACTATTTTCAATTATGCCTTCTTAACCATCCGTTACATCTTCAATTGTCAGAGAATTTCGGCAAAATATGACAGGGAAATCGGGGAAATGTCAGGGAATTTTATTTTCTAAATTCTGTGGCAACCCCAAGTATAAAAAAGAAGGTGTGGATAAAATGAGTAGGAAGAAGGTGAAAACGATGAAACCAAAAGAAGGAAACCCGTCAGAATCGAAGCCTCGGTTAGCGTCCCCCGACGCGGAGCGCGAGGGATATTACCGGGATACATCTGCTTACAACTCCACGTAATGCTTTAAAGAGTAAACCCTGCTCCAGGGATCAGGTTTATAAATAATGTATCGGAGCAATTGGATATCCTCGAGTAAATTATCCATTTCGAAGCTCTCCGTTAATAATTCGCCGAGCCGAACGCAGCGTCCGCCGGAAGCTCGGCAACTTTCACCCAGTGGCGTGGCGTGCTTTGCGATATATCGATTGCTTTGCCATTTAAAGCTATGAGAAAGGATCGATAAACAGGGTGTTCGCAGCGAACACCTTAATAATCGATTCTTTACCGTAGGTTTCAATGGCGAGATATCGATAATCGATCATTCACGCCACGCCACTGCTTTCACCTCGCTAACCCACGTCTCGTGTTTTACAACCGGGTTCCATCCCTGGCTTGCGGTCGGCTCCTCAAGTAACGCCCGCTCCGTCGCATTTCACCTTAAAACATGCTCAAAACTAATGGGGCTCTTTCGAACGAGGGATGCGGATAAATGAATGGACTTTCGAGAGGTGAAACCGCTTCAAATTAACAATGAATACGTTCAATTCATCCGAAATCTAAAAGTGAATATTGATGGTCAAAGTGCATAACTACGTAACTTTTAAGCGATGCAATGCGTGAGCATGATTGCTTCTGCCGATCAATTCACTACTCTAAAGATCTATGCTACTGTGCTAAGGAAAAACGCCGTATGAACATTCGAGAGTTGCCGAATTTCCCTTGATAAAATATGTATTTTTGACAACATTCATGCATGCATATTTTTCCATGAAATTTTCAGATATTATAGATTTAACAGCGTAAAAAATTGTCTGAAAATTTTGGAAAATAATATTCACAATTTCCCCAGTAATTTTGGTTTTTATTGGAGGAAACTTGGCAACATCGGAAGGCTCATACGGCGTTTTTCCGTAGTACGGCAGTATGGTTCACCCGTTTGATGGAAGCAAAAATATCGCGATCCATCGCATACTTTAAATGGTCCGTTTCTTTTGAAATACTTCCGAGCGAAAGAGCAGTTCAAATGAGCAATTTTCCAAAATCTGACTCATTCCAAGCGCATCTTATTTAACTTTTTGGTATTTATTAACGAGGAAACAGTTTTTTACGCGTTCAAAATTTTATACGCTGATTAATCGATTACTCGATTGGGAGGTCATGATAAATCTAAACAGGATGTAAGTTTAAAATCGAACCAAGATCAGCTAAATAGCTATCTTAGTTCCGGAATCTCAGCAGGAGTCCCGGCACTTTTGGGACACCCTATTCAATACGTTGTGTTTCCATACACGGGAGGAATAAAATTGTAAGTTTGTGGAGGATTCAGCAACACTGAGGTCGTAACCGCACGTAAGCACTGCGAAGTGCTAGACATTAATGGCGTTAGACTGACGTTATCTGATTGTGTAACGGATACTTTTTACACAGGAAAAATGTCCTAGAAATTATCTTGGCGTTCGTAAATAATTCGCCTCTGGGAAATATAACCGTCG